TTTAAAAAATGTTTTTTAAAAATGTGTACACCTGAATAAATTTTGTATGTTTACCCTTGTGGATTCATGGCTGCATTATTCAGCCACAAAAATCAGAAGGCTGAAAGAGTACTGATGAGGATGTAGCTTAAATATATATATATATATATTTATAAAGTGAAAAAGTGTGTTTTATGCAGTTGCTTTACCCAAGATCTGGAATTTATGCATTAACAATTTAATCATATCCAGATGTATTAATAGGTTACTTTTTTAACATTTCTTCCTTTTTCTTGTACTGATCACTTCCTTTTTCAAATGGGTACCCACTGAACTGTCCCACGTTCTTCTTTAATGAAGCAACCTACGGCAGAACAAAAAATTAAAGAAAAAATTAAATAGTTGAAATTATTTATTTTCTTCCATTTATATCCCGCCCTCCCCGCAAAGCAGGCTCAGGGTGAGTTCCAACCTATAACAATCTGCTGAGTACAGGTTTACATTTTAAAAATAGAAAAATAAAACACATACAATAAATACAATAAAATAAGTACAACACTAAATGCTCAAAGAACCTCCCTTAATATGAGGTAAGCCAGAGAAATGCTACAAGCTGCAAATACTAGCGGGCAACAAAAGGTATGTTAAGGCTGGTTACCTAATGATTATATTCAATCATAAAAAATGAATAGAAATGTTCCTGTGTTTGTATGGAAGCTGTTTTCAGTTTTCCACATTTCTGTAAATGCAGCTTTAAAGGCCCAGGCATGCCTATTGATCTGTTTTGCTAGACAGTGTCCTCTTAGTGAAAGAAGACTTTTACTGGCTTCCGGTGGGTGGATCGGCAATGGCGGTCGCTCTCCTTGAAGCTTGAGGAGGCAACTAGCACACCTTTGGCTTGGAGGGGTGTCACCTCAAGTGGCACCCCCACAGAGCCCTTGTGAAGGGTTCCAGGCCAGGGGACTCTTGAGGGTTAGCCTCTTCGACGGCTTGATGCCGGAGAATAGAGGCTTCCCTCCACCCTGATGGTCCAGCCGATGGGTGACATTAGGGTACAAGCCAATCTAACCGGGACAAGTGTAGGAGATAGAGCGGAATAGCGTATGAAGAGAGCGGGGTCAAGATATGACCAACAATAAACGTGAGTTTGAATTAAACGGCCTATTTCTCTAAAACGGAACACACACCCCGTGGGAAAAATGGAGCGTAAGGAGGGATGCCTCCTAAGCGCTTGAGCAGATTAACGAAGCAAGGGGGGGAGGAGAGAAACAGTGTTACATTTTGAGAGACCTACTTGAGCTTGGAAAGAGAAACGGCGAGTCTTTCGAGCTCTGAAACAGAGGTGTTGAATTGTAAACAAAGAGAGAACATGGCGGTTACACGAGGGAAAATAAAACCGAAAGGCAGCCAGAGTCCAAGATCAGAACAGGGAGCAGACATCATGAAGACGTTAGTGGATATGCTGAAACCAGTATTGGAGTAGCTCGGTGGTATTAATTAGCAACTGGCCACACTAAACCAAAACTTCGCCTGCAGCAGCGCCAGTTGGCAGAGACGGAGAAAAAAGTGGAGCAGGCAACTGAGAAGCTGGTAGAGATGGGGAACAAGAAGATGAGGAAAAGAGTGACAGAGGTGGAAATAAAACAAAAGCTGCAGGAAAACCGTTTACTTCAGCTGCAAATGGAGAAAGCAAACATGACTCAGATTTCAGCCTGAAAAGGAAAAAGATTTGAAGAAAACTCTGGGAGAGATTATCGCTCCAGTGACAGGCTTATCAGCGGATGAAATAATAAAAGAAAAGATATAGAGTCTGCCTATCGGGTATACTCTAATTACATTAAAAAAATAGCCTGCCTGGGGAGATTGTAGTCAAATTTGCAAGAAGACAGACCAGAGATGTTATATTAAAGGCAACTTCGGCAAATCCACTGAAATTTTGGAATACAAATATTAAGACTCTAAAAGACATCCCATTTGAAATCCGTCAAAAGAGGAAAAGCTACAAAGAATTAATCTCATTTCTTCAGACAAACGGAATACAATATTGCTGGGCGATTCCTGAAGGTGTCATCTTTAAAATTAATGATAAAAGAAGATTGACTCCATCTTTAAAGCAAAGGAATTTTTGAGATGACAGCTGGGGCCAGAAGCAGATGAAGAAACAAAATCGAGTGACTCTGCTACCTCTGGAACGGGGGAGGACTCTGGGGAGGAAGCGGGTGCGGGAGCAAGCAAAACGGTGTATGATTTCAGGGAAAGAAGACAGAAGTAAGGGCAGAAGGACTCTGAAAATAGCCCTATGAAAATAAGAAGATGCTCAAGGTTCTCAAAATATTAAAATTATTAACATTGAAGCAGTAGTTAAAAATAACTCACAGTGTTCCCTCTAAGCTGAGTTAGTGTGAGCTAGCTCACAGTTTTCTAGCCTCCAGCTCACAGATTTTTGTCTTAGCTCAGGAAGAATAGCTCCAGAGCAAACTAATTTATACGGTTGCCAAATCGCTCGTTCACAGTTTTAATGCCAGCAGCTCACAAAGTAGAATTTTTGCTCACAAGACTCCACAGCTTAGAGGGAACATTGCTCACAAGTATATTGTTATACTAACACGTATTTACTAACATGTAGTTTAACACGGCAATGATCGCCTACTCTTGGGTTTTTAGTTAGTGTGGGTATCTTTTCTTTATCCCCAGTTGTAGTCCCCCTTCCTATATTTTTGGTTGTAGTTATGTAGTTTATTGAAAAACCAATAACATTACCCTCTTGGGGGTTTCAAAAAAAAAAAAAGAAGACTTTTACTGACACAAGAGTCAGTTCTGCAGCAGAAGAGCACCTTGTACTGATGAAAGGGCCATTGTGCTGGAAGAAAGCACCAGAAATAGCCATATGTTGTAACACATTAATACAAGTACCTTAGAAACACAACAGAAAGCTCAGCAGGAGAGCATCTATTTTGCATGCAGAAGGTCCCAAGTTCAATTCATGGTGACTACAGTTTAAAGGATCTGGTAGTAGAGGATATGAAAGGCATCTAACAGAGACAGGTAGAACTCCTCCCAGTCAAAGTAGACAAATCTTGATAAACAGAGGGAACAGTCCTCAATAGACCCATCCAGAAGCCCCATTTTATTCAATTGGCCTTGCTCCCAGGAAAGTGTTCTCTGGTTTGCACACTAGATCTGATATACTATGAGGCAGCTTCATGCATTAATTGTCCTAGTAGCCTCCTTTTATTCCAAAAAAATATTTCAAACAAACCAATATAAAGAGAACTAGATCTGCATTTTTTTAAAAAATGGAAAATACTGATGCTTCTATCTATCACAAAGACAATCCAAGGAACTGGGCAGCTAGTTTCAGAAGCAGAAAGGTGTTGGACTTTTATCTCAAATACTACCTTTTAATGCTTCATAAGAAACTGGCTTTTGAAGTGGAGTAGATTCAAACAGTTTGTGAGTGTATTTAATAAGATTTAAAGGTTACACCCCCCTCATGTATCACTGCCTTGTCGTGGCAAGGGGGCTTGCGTAGTTCAATGAAGCTGTGGGCTATGCCGTGAAGGGCCACCCAAGACGGACAGGCCACAGCAGAGAACTCAGACCAAGCGTGATCCGCCTGGAGAAGGAAATGGCAACCCACTCCAGTACTTTTGCCAAGAAAACCCCATGGACAGTATCAAAAGGCTAAAAGATATGACACCGGAAGATGAGCCCCTCAGGTCGGAAGGTGTCCAATATGCTACTGAGGAAGAGCAGAGGGCAAGTACAAGTAACCCCAGAAAGAGTAAAGCGCCTGGGCCAAAGCTGAAAGGACGCTCAGTTGTGGATGTGTCTGATGGTGAAAGGAAAGTCCGATGCTGCAAAGAACAATACTACATAGGAACCTGGAATGTAAGATCTATGAATCAAGGTAAGCTTGACGTGGTCAAAAATGAGATGGCAAGACTGAACATCGATATTTTAGGAATCAGTGAACTAAAGTGGACAGGAATGGGCGAATTTAACTCAGAAGACCATTATATCTACTACTGTGGCCAGGAATCTCGTAGAAAAAATGGTGTGGCCTTTATAGTCAACAAGAGAGTGCAAAAGTCAGTACTGGGATACAATCTCAAAAATGACAGAATGATTTCTGTCCGATTCCAAGGCAAACCATTCAACATCACAGTAATCCAAGTCTATGCCCCAACCACTGATGCAGAAGAGGCTGAAGTAGACCGGTTCTATGAAGACCTACAACACCTCCTAGAACTAACACCAAAAAATGATGTCCTCATCATCATAGGGGACTGGAATGCTAAAGTAGGAAGTCAAAAGGTAACCGGAATAACAGACAAGTTTGGCCTTGGAAAGCAAAATGAAGCAGGGCAAAGGTTAACAGAGTTTTGTCAAGAGAACACACTGGTCATAGCGAACACCCTTTTCCAACAACCTAAGAGGCGACTCTACACATGGACATCACCAGATGGGCAACACCGAAATCAGATTGACTATATAATTTGCAGTCAAAGATGGAGAAGCTCTATCCAGTCAGTAAAAACAAGACCTGGAGCTGACTGTGGTTCAGATCATGAGCTACTCATTGCAAAATTCAGACTTAAACTGAAGAAAATCGGGAAAACCATGAGGCCATTCAGGTTTGACCTAGATCACATCCCTGATGAATATACAGTAGAGGTGAAGAATAGATTCAAGGGTCTGGATTTGATAGATAGAGTGCCTGAAGAACTATGGACAGAGGTTCGTGACATCGTACAGGAGGCAGCAATCACCACCATACCAAAGAAAAAGAAATGCAAGAAAGCAAAATGGCTTTCTGATGAGGCTTTACAAATAGCAGAGGAAAGAAGGAAAGCGAAAGGCAAAGGCGAAAAGGAAAGATTTACCCAACTGAACGCAGATTTCCAGAGAACAGCAAGGAGAGATAAGGAGGCCTTCCTGAATGAACAGTGCAAAGTAATAGAAGAAAACAATAGAATGGGAAGGACTAGAGATCTCTTCAAGAAAATTGGAGAAATCAAGGGAGCGTTCCATGCAAAGCTGGCCATGATAAAGGACAAAAACGGTAGGGACCTAACAGAAGCAGAAGAGATTAGGAAAAGATGGCAAGAATACACAGAAGAACTATACAAGAAAGACCTCAATGTCCTTGACAAACACGACGGTATAATCACTGACCTTGAGCCAGACATCCTGGAATGTGAAGTTAAATGGGCCTTAGAAAGCATTACTAACAACAAAGCTAGTGGAGGTGATGGTATTCCAGCTGAGCTATTCAAAGTCTTAGAAGATGATGCTGTTAAAGTTCTGCACTCCATTTGCCAGCAAATTTGGAAAACGCAACAGTGGCCACAGGATTGGAAAAGATCAGTATACATTCCAATCCCAAAGAAGGGCAATGCCAAGGAATGTTCAAACTATCGCACAATTGCACTCATATCACACGCTAGCAAGGTCATGCTCAAGATCCTACAAGCTAGGCTTCAACAGTACGTGGATAGAGAACTACCAGAAGTACAAGCTGGGTTTCGAAGAGGTAGAGGAACGAGAGATCATATTGCCAACATTCGCTGGATTATGGAGAAAGCAAGAGAGTACCAGAAAAATATCTACTTCTGCTTCATTGACTATGCTAAAGCCTTTGACTGTGTGGATCACAACAAACTATGGCAGGTCCTTAAAGAGATGGGAGTACCAGACCACCTCACATGTCTCTTGAGAAACCTGTATAAGGGCCAAGAAGCGACAGTTAGAACCGGATACGGAACAACTGATTGGTTCAGCATAGGAAAAGGAGTACGACAAGGATGTATACTGTCACCTTGCTTATTTAATATATATGCAGAGTACATCATGCGAAATGCTGGCCTGGATGAATCACAAGCGGGAATTAAGATTGCTGGGGAAAAGATCAACAACCTCAGATATGCAGATGATACCACTCTAATGGCTGAAAGTGAAAAGGATCTAAAGAGCCTCTTGCTCAGAGTAAAAGAGGAGAGCGCAAAAGTGGGCTTGAAGCTCAACATCAAAAAAACTAAGATCATGGCATCCGGCCCCATCACTCCTTGGCAAATAGAAGGGGAAGTCGTGGAAGTAGTGACAGACTTCACGTTCCTGGGATCCCAGATCACCGCAGACTGTGACTGCAGCCATGAAATTAAAAGACGCCTGCTCCTTGGGAGGAAAGCGATGGCGAACCTAAACAGCATGATAAAAAGTAGAGACATCACCCTGCCAACAAAAGTCCGCATGGTCAAAGCAATGGTATTCCCAGTAGTCATGTATGGCTGCGAGAGCTGGACTATAAGGAAGGCCGAGCGCCGAAGAATAGATTCTTTTGAACTATGGTGCTGGAGAAGACTCTTGAGAGTCCCTTGGACTGCAAGAAGAACAAATCAGTCAATCCTCAAAGAAATCAACCCTGACTGTTCCCTGGAAGGCCAGATAATGAAACTGAAGCTCAAATACTTTGGCCACCAAATGAGAAGGGAGCACTCACTGGAGAAGACCCTGATGCTGGGAAAGATTGAAGGTCAAAGAAGACGGGGACGGCAAAGGATGAGATGGTTAGACAGTGTCATCGAGGCAACGAACATGAAACTGAGCAAACTTCAGAGGACAGCGGAAGACAGGAGGGCCTGGCGGGATCTAGTCCATGGGGTCGTGAAGAGTCGGACTCGACTGTGCGACTGAACAACAACAAAGGTTACACAGAACACAGGCAATGTATTAAAGCATTCTTGAGTAGCTGTTTGGATCCAGACTGATTATCTAGATGTCTATTCCATCAAATTCCAAGAAACACATTTCCAATTTAGACATTATCACAGTTCAGCTAAGGACTATCTAGCCGTGTCAAGCTTCTATGCAAAGAAGTGGAATACCTTTAAAAGGCACCCATTCAATACTTCATGCTAATCTCAAATTAATGTGAAAGACAATATTTTAAGAATACTTACTGTGCCTGGTCTATTATAAAGAAGTTTGTGCAGATTACGAAGTTCATCTGTTTTCTTCTTACTTAAGAAGTACTGTATCCTTTCAATTTCACAGAGTTTTTGTCCCTTTCCTGAAAGAAAAAAAAGATACATAACAATGGAACTCTAGACACAAAACTAGAAGGATGTTGTCTGAATATCAGTTTAAAGGGAGTAAAGGGGAATTGTTTATTATAGTCATCAGATAATTTATGCACCACTTATTAAAACAGAATTATTTTTACTGTTTCTGAGGACTACAGATTTACTGGGGTGGGGTGTGGCAGCGCAGAATTTAATTTCTAGTTATCCCATAAGAACTGATGTGTAAGAACTGCCAGTCTCCGGCCCCAAAGACATCCAGCTGTCCTCAACCAGGGCTAGGGCCTTTTCAGTCTTGCCCCCAGCCTGGTAGAACTCTCTGCCAAGTACCATCAGAGCCCTGAAGGGCCAGGCTTTTGGTTGAGGACAGCAATGGTTTTCATCTTGGCTGACACCCTCTTCCACTCTCTTCTTTTGTCTTACCCCTTCCCCCCCTGCCGGTAAAGCAGCTGGCAGTCTGGAATGGGATTACTTTATTTGCCATCTGTTTTAAAATGTGCTGTTTGATTTTAATTGTTTTATCTAGTGTATGTTTTTATTCATATTGTACATCACCCAGGCAATAAATATAATAATAATAGTAATAGTAGTAATAATAATAATAATAATGCCCTGCTGAGAAAAGGTCAAATGCTCAAGAAAAAGCTTCACTCAGGAATTTAAGCAGTGTGAAGAGATGGCAATAATGTACAACTGCATTGGCCAGGCATATACCTAAGAGAAAGAGAGATGAGACGGATTTCCTGAGAAGTTAAACAGTAGCAATTAATTCAGTTGCACTTAACAAGCACACAGCTGGGGTACAAATGCTGCCATGAAGGGCACCGCTTGCATCACTACAGCTTAAACCATATCACCAGGCAGCCAAGCACCAGTTCTAAAACATGCAATTCTTGCCATTCAGCACAAACCAATTGGATTTGAAAGCTTTAATGGAATGCTGGGGTGAGGGGAAAAACCCTGAGGAGTAACAGTCAATCAATAGACAAGGAGAGCAGTTGGGGTTTGGAGAGAGAAAGGATAGGAGGTATCCCAACTAGGTAGGGAGTCCAGGAGAGATTGTAGTATATGATTTTGGGCAGGCAAGGTTTAGATGTTGTTCCTCAATAAAAACAGTGAAGTGTTAAAGCTGTCTAGTTATTGTCTTCAGGTATGAAGTGCTTAAAAAACAAACAGCTCTGTTAACTGTGTCAACTATCAGACTAGAGCGGGAAGGCATTACAGGTCTCACTTACCAACTAAATAAACTTATGTGATTTGTTATATGCGACTCCTGTATTACACTCAACCCATATAATCCACTGCATACTCTGTAAGGTCCAGAGAAAGGGGTCTGGATTTTGTAACTCATCTACTATCTGGTACAGGGTTAAGGAATCCTTGTGTGTAAAAAAAAAAACACGCACAGAAGAGAAATCCACTTTGCCTCACGCACCTGAAGTTGACAGGGAATACGATATAGTAAAATCTGATTGTAACTGTAGTAAGGTGGTTCAGAATTCTTCAGCCTGATGGACTTGTTATTGGTAACATGGTAGAAAATAAAATAATGAAAAGGCCTGGATCATGGGTTGTGACAATTTATTGCTGTTACAATTCATTTCTAAGAGAAAACCTGTTTTAATTTAGCACGTTTAGAGACTCTAAATCAAAGGAAGATCATTTGTGCTTATTTACAAGATATGATTTTAAAACTTGCCTGGTGTAATTGTAAAAGGCTCCTTTTGTAATGAGGACACTTGCATGGTCAGTCTTTCTACTTTCTTCTTCTCTCTTTTTCCTTCAACAATGAGGCTTTTTTCTGAAAGAGAAAATTAAGTGTCTTTTCGTTTTGTGTGCTGGTATTCTCATGTATTCTTCAGCCTTCTTCCTACCCGCAAATTAGAAGACGCCAAAAGCTTTGCACTTTACACATTTTACCCTGCAAGGAATTTAGGGCAGCATATAAGTTCCCCTCCCTTTTTATTTTCACCACAACTGTTACCTCAAATGATATGTGTTGACCAAGAAATGAGAAGGAGATTGAGACTGAGAAGGGCAGCCATGAAGGAGCTAGAAAAGAGCCTTAAGTGTAAGGCTGTGTCACTGTCAATCAAGGTTAAGATAACTCATAATATGGTATTCCCCATTAATATGCATTGGTGTTAAAGTTGGACAATTAAGAAAGCTGACAGAAGAAAGTTTACTTTGAAATGTGATGTTGGAGGAGAGTTTTACAGATACCATGGACTGCCAAAAAAGACAAATAACTGGGTTTTAAATCAAATCAAGGCTGAACTCTCCCAAGAAGCTAAAATGACCACACTACAGCTCTCTTACTTTGGTCACATTATGAGAAGACAAGACTCACTGGAAAAGATAATAATATTAGGAAAAGCTGAAAGCTGTAGGAAAAGAGGAAGACCCAACATGAGGAGGATCACTCAGTCAAGGAAGCCATGGCCCTCAGTTTGCAAGACCTGAGCAAGCCTGTTAACTATAGGATGTTTTTCAGGTCATTAATTCACAGTGTTGCCGTAAGTCAGAAGCAACTTGGCAGCACTTAACACACTAAACTTACCTATAAACAGTCCTCCTCAGTGACTAGACATAGTGGAAGCACCAAAACTGCAGGGTTAGGGCTGGATTAAAAGAAAGGCTCAGCATCCTGATGGCACTAAGTTACTTCATGAATGCTGTCTGATTGGTAGCAGCTACGGATGGACATGAACCAGGAAAATGCAGTTTGGTTCATGGCCGAACCACAAACCAAGCCAGGAGGTTTGTTCACTAACTGAACCAGTTTGTGGACCCATGGCACACCATTATGTGTAATTTGGTTGGCCCTAATAAATAGAATTATGTGGGAGAGGGGTTGGATTTTCTTTGGGACCCACACAATTACTATTTACTAGAAAGAATTTAAAGCATCATTACTAAAATCTGCACATCTTTCGTTAGCAGTCAGTTCTGTGTATAAAAGTGTGACAGATGTGTTTATGAGCGCGCAAGCAAAAAAACAAAGTCCCATCAAACACCCATACTCCTGATACTAGGAACATTTTGTAGCACATAAGCATAAGTGATTGTTACCTATTAACAGACCATCTACAAGCAACAGGATACAACTAAAAACATTAACAAAAAAGGGCATGGAGAGACCCAAGCCTTATGTGCCCAAGTGAGCTCTGTAAGCTATTGGAGAAGCAGTGGCTATCTATCCCCTTTGTTCTTTCCTACTGCCTACGCTGCTCTCTCTTAGACAATGATGTTTGCGAAAGTGATGACAATTGACCTCATGCTCATCCTCTTGCAGTGGGAACCAGGGCACAAGAGCAGATTAAACCTACGAGCTGAGGTAGTAATCCACAGCAGGAGTCTGAACACAGGTGCAGAATACCCTGAAATTAGCCCTGGAATCCAGATACCAACCACAGCAAATTGGAGCTTGAAGGCTTCTGAAACCAGAAAGACTTCATATGAACTTATTACAACCAGATTTTTGTACTTGTCACAGAGGTTCACTCCAATGTCTGAGCAGCCACAGAATGAACATATCTCCTTATAATAGAAATTTTAAATTATATTTCTTATAGCTGTGTATGTGAAAACATTTTATTTAAACCTTATCATCAGAGACTGCCTGCACCCGCAGCCTCTAAATGTGTAAGTAATTCAAAGAAATACTCAGCATAAGAAAATTTATTGTGTTAGCCATAGGCCATAACAAACTTACGGAGCATCCAAACACAGCAGTGAAATAGTATAAAAGATACATTAAAAAGTAAAACCTAGAATCACATACATGAAAGGTTAAAATGGCCTGCATATTATAAGAATGACCCCTATGGTGCCGCCCTGGCTCTAATTTTTTTGGCCGCAAGGGCAAAGAGGGAGACTCTATAGGATACAAACTTGTTGGTATCTGATAACAAAAACATTATCTTCTCATTTTCAGAATACGCTTTTATGGTAAATAAAACTCCTGTCAAGGATTTGTCTTTGGATGCGGTATATAACAGGCAGGCTAAGATACACTGAGAAAGGTTCTCAGTGGCAAGCGAGCCGCAAATACATGTACTATGTTCTGTTGGAATTTGAAAATATCGACCCTCCCGCAATGCTGTGTACATTGTTTGAAAACACAAGGCAGTGAAAGACACCCTGAGGTTAAAGTTGGAAATTTTAGATAAATAGAGTAATCTAAATCAAAGAAATACAAAGATGTTAGCGTGGGCATCCAAAGATGTGTATATCGAAAGTCTTTCCCTTAACATTACACTGACTCCTGCTCTGCATGGTTTCATAACATGGTTGTCTTTTCTGATTATATCACCCACCTTTCTCCTCTTCTTCTTCCTCCTCCTCCTCACTATTTTCAGTTTTAGGTTCTTTTTCTTCTATTTGCTCACCAGACCGCACATCATCTTTTTCAGAAACAGAAGTCATGGCTGGTTCTTTTGCATGGAAACAGAAGAGGGGAAAAATCAACATTACTCTGAAAGTGTGACTTTGAATTTTGTTTACAATACAGGAATGAGATGCAGCAGACTTAAGGAGTGCTCAGTTATTTTATGAACAGTCACTACAACTTAACTATTCAGTTCCTTGATAGCGATGAATATTCACTACAAATTTAGCACCATACCTTATACAGTAATTCATGGGGCAAAGAACAACAACTGAAAGATCATCTGCAACAAAACTACACACGTACACAAAACCTTAATGATTATGATGTGTTTTCTGTGAAGCCACAGCTTTGTTTTAAAAAGTTTATTAGACCAGAAACATACAGGTAACATTGGGGGGGAAGGGGAGTCAAGTTTCTCTGCTGGCTGGCTTAGTTGTTATTCCTCAGTGATCTTCGTTAAAAAAAATGTAAATACTGGGTACAGAATAAAGCACACAAAACTGAACAAGTGCAATTTTTTAAAACTATTTTTTACAAAACACAGCATCTAAGGCTGATTAGCAGAGTTACCAATCACTTCAACTGACACACACACCCCTGTTCACAAAACACATATGACTGGATTTCACTAGGTTTGCACTTGTGGACTGGGCCCTGCCTTCTACAGCAGCCTTCTGCAACACCTAAACAATACATTATGGGAGTCACTGGACCCTCAAAGATAAAAGGCAACATGGGTCAGGAAGGGAGGTGGCATCAGGTGACTGTGTCTCCTGTCTTCTGTCAATGGGCAAGTGACAAGATATGCCACTATGTGCCTTCTTTATGCTCCCCAGGGCAGAAGTTTGTTTGCTTAAAAAAACCCACAATGTATCAAGAAAAACCTGGGATCAATTGGACAGATTTTCTTACTCTTCGGCTCTATGCAAAACTTTCAGACACGCATATACTGCCAGCAACTCAAGGATACCGCTTCATGCAACCAATAAAGCTCACAAAAACTTAATTCCACACCAACAGTTTCTTACTATTTAAGGTACCACACAAGTGTTGTTTTGGCAACCAAGTAATCAGACCCGGATCTCTTTAGAACAATGTAGCACAGGCTGCAGTCCGGTTACACAGATCTCTTTTTCAGGAGGAACTTCTACTGTAGGTTTTGGTCCCCCCCCCCATTAAATATTAAAAAGCCATGCCATTTTTCTTCTGCATGTTTAATGCTTTAAACGAAATACTGAAAGCGCCCCAACTCTCCCCTCATCCGTAATGCTTATGGTCCCGAAGCCTCCGTGAGCTGCAAGGCAGAGTCTGTCCCGAGCTCTCCTCCCTCGCTTCGACCTCCATCGGAGGACGCTTGCGTGAGACCATCGCAGCCGAGGGAAACGGCCGTCCTTGTGCTTATCCTGAAAACGAATGCCTTTTTGGCCACCCCGGACGAGCTTTCTGCAGGGGCCAGAGCCCGCTTAAAAAAAGACGAGGGGGGGAAACGGGCTGGCCACGGGCGGCCATCAGAGGAGGGAGGAAACGGGAGAATTCCGGCGGGAAAGCGGCGCTACTTGGTCGGAAGCCATCAGGCCCCGCACTCACAAAGGACGAGACGGGGGAGGGAAGAGTCGGCCCTTCCAAAGCCCCTTCTCGCAGAGCGCGCCGTGAGGCCTTAGCTCGGCTTCGGGCGGGACATTTCGGTTGACGCAAACGCCGCTCTCCTCCCCCCGCCCCCGGGCCGTTTTCGGCGGTTGCCCAGGGAGTAACGGAACACCCACCTGCTCGCCAGAGGGAGACCCCTAAGCGTGAGGATGACAAAAGCCTTCCGCGGGGAGAGGGAGAAACAGGCCCAGGCAAGCGGGCGGGGCGGGATTAGGCGCGAGTTCAGGGCTACTCTCCAGAAAAGCAACAACGTTTCAAAATGGCGGGTTGTCAAAGGGGAAGAAGGAAGCGGGAAAGCGCCAGCCAATCAACTCGCAGGACGTATGGGGAGTCAGGCGGGGGTGGGAAAGTGAAAAGCTACGCAGGAAGGAAGGTAGGTGGGGAGGGGGAGTGAAAGGGAGGTTGCTGAAGAGGCCGCAAGGAGCATGCGCGGGGGATTGTGAGGCTTCGGGGGTGGGCGGGGTGGAGCCCTCAAGCGGCTTGTTGATTCGGTTGGTGAGTGCGCAGGCGCGGGTTTACATCGACGTGCAAGTGGGCTTTCAACTCTGAATCGGGGGAGCGGAGCAGGAAACGCTCTTCTGGCCGTTCTCGCCTTCCGAGAAACTCACTGGGGTGGTTCTAAACAAAGATTTCTCCTTCTAAGTCCGTTGACTCCAGTAGGTTTTGTTGTTGTTCAGTCGCACAGTCGAGTCCGACTCTTTGCGACCCCATGGACCAGCTCCCGCCAGGCCTTCCGGTCTTCCCCCGTCCTCTGAAGTTTGCTCAACTTCATGTTGGTGGCGTCACTGACACTGTCTAACCATCTCATCCTTTGCCATCTGTCTACTTTGACCTTCAATCTTTCCCAGCATCAGGGTCTTCTCCAGTGAGTGCTCCCTTCTCATTTGGTGGCCAAAGTATTTGGAAATCAGATTGACTATATAATTTGCAGTCAAAGATGGAGAAGCTCTATCCAACCGGCTGTGGGCGGCGCTCCGGTGTTTCGACACGGCCGGCCTGAAGGTCAAGCGAGAGAAATGCTTGGGGTTCCTAAGGTGGAGTTCTTGGGGTTTGCCGTGGACGCCCAGGGGATTCATCCCACGGACGTAAAGACAACGGCTATCTCACAGGCGCCCCCACCTACATCCAAGATGGAATTACAGGCTTTCTTAGGCCTGTTAAATTTTTATCACTCCTTTCTCCCTCTAAAGGCTGCGGTGGCGGAACCTCTGCACTGCTTGCTGGATAAAAATGCACCGTGGGTCTGGGGGCGGAGCATGCCGCCGCTTTCCAGGCAGTAAAGGACCTTCTTGTCTCCAACTTGGTCCCCTCCCATTTCAATGAGGCCTTTCCCGTGGTCCTGGTCTGTGATGCCTCTCCGTACGGGGTCGGGGCGGTCTTGGGCCACCAGTTACCGGACGGCCGGGAGGTTCCGGTTGCCTATTACTCTCGCACCTTGTCATCTGCCGAGCATAACTATGCGCAGATTGACAAGGAGGCACTGACTATTGTGGCGGGGTGAAAAAAATTCACCATTACTTGTACGGTCGGCCGTTCATGATCCTGATGGACCATAAACCGCTCCTCGGCCTCCTGGCCCCAGACCGCCAAACCCCCCAGATGATGTCTCCCCAAGTGCTTCGGTGGTCTGTTTTCTTGGCAGGATACTTGTATGCGCTCGTCCATCGGCCTGGGAAAGCGATGGGACACGCTGACGCTTTGAGCCATCTCCCGCTGCCATCTAAGGATCTGGACCCGGCTCCTGCTCATCAGGTCGCGCTTCTGGAGGCTCTTCCCAATCAACCGGTGCACGTTCGGGAAGTGGCGCGCCGCACTGCCAAAGACCTGATCCTTTGCCGCGTCTTGGACTGGGTGAAAAGGGGGTGGCCTACGGCCCCAGGGGGGTGGACTTCACGGCCTTTGCATCCCGCGAGGATGAGCTGTCGGCCCACAAAGGCTGCGTGATGTGGGGCGGCAGGGTGGTGATTCCAGCCCCTTTACGGGAAAGGGTCCTCACGGCGCTCCACAAGACACATCCCGGGGTGGTCTAGATGAAAGCTTTGGCCAGAAGTTATGTCTGGTGGCCAGGGCTGGATCGGGACATCGAGGACCGGGTCAAGAGGTGTCAGCCCTTGCCAAAAATCCCGGCCCGAGCCTCCTCGGGCTCCCGCTAGAGCCTGGGAGTCCTCGCACAAGCCCTGGTCTCGGCTCCATCTGGACTTCGCAGGGCTATTCCAGGGTCAAATTTTTTTATACTCGTGGACGCGTACAGCAAATGGCTCGAGGTCGTTTCAGTACTGTCCACTTCCTTGACAGTCGCAAGCCGGGCCATGTGGCGCATCTTCAGTGCCCAGGGTATTCCCGACACCCTGGTCACCGACAACGGCACGGCCTTCACCTCTAGCGAATTCCAGGACTTCACCCGCTACTATGGAATTCGCCAGGTCAGATCGAGCACCCAGCGACTTTCCACCCAGCGACAAATGGCCAAGCCGAACGCATGGTTCGGACGACCAAGGAGGCGCTCCGCCGCTTGGACAGTAAGGACTGGGACTACAAGCTGGCTGCATTCCTCTTTGGCCAGAGAACGACACCCCACACCGCGATGGGACACAGCCCAGCAGAGCTCCTGCTAGGACGACGCCTGACGACCCGGCTGGACCGCCTCCCGATCGAGCACTGGAAGAGGCACCAGCCATGGAGTCACCCGAGGTGGCGAGAGGGTTTTTTCCCAAGGACCCAGTCTATGCCCGGAACTATGCACAAGGCCCGCAATGGATTCCGGCCTGGGTGGTGAGAGTCCGGGGACCCAAGTCCTATGACGTCTCCAGCGAAGACGGTCAGATACTTCACCGCCACATCGACCAGCTGCGGCAATGGGTACTGCCACACGACCCCGACACCCCGGAGATTCCCACTCCGCCTCAGCTACCGGATGACCTGGCCCAGCGAAGTGAGGTTTCCGTCGAAGCACCAGCCGACCGCACGACTGGGCCCTGAGAACCAGTGCTACCAGCACCCCAACTGCCAACACCGCCCATCTCACAGCTGATTGCTCCGGTGTCACCGTCCGCCCCGGTTCCCGCACCTCGCCGCTCTACGAGAACTCGTAAAGCCCCTTCCTACTTGCAGGACTATGTGTGTGGGTGTCTTTTCAACCAAGGGGGGAGGGGTGTAATGTATCCCATTTCAGACCTCGTGCGCTGCCATTTCGCCATGCGGTCAGGCAAAGCGACCGAGCTTCGCTCTCAGTAACAATGGGACAAGTGGATCCTAGCCGGCACCTATCGGCAGGGCAGGGTCCTCGCCGAGAGTCTATGGAACTCTCGGCCACTGTAAATAGTCAATCACTTGTGTGTAAGTGTGTTTGGGGAGCGGGGTTTGTGCACATATAAACCAGCCTGTGAGCTGGGTACTCTCGTCTTGTTCTGAGCTGAAATAAAGTATGAGAGCTGAAATCACTAGTAAGTCTCAGTACTTTTCAGGTAATGAGACAGGAAACCTGGGTCTCGATTCAATCCAGGTGATGCATTGTCTTGAGCTTCATTATCAATTGCAATTCAACAGTCTTGATTTTGATCTGTCTCCATCAGGAACAGTGTGTTATGGATCATCTTTATTTACAGTGCATTTAGTTATACTTCAGTTGGAGTCTTTTTTTTGTTAAACCATGGCTCTCAGAGTAACTCATAACAATGAAATGTCTTACAATAAACCATAGCATAAATGGATCCAACAGCAAATGGATAAGCAAATGGTTAAGAAACAACAACAAATATTTGACTGAACCCCAAAAATCCAAACAAAGCATTTAAAATGTGTGTCTAGAAGGGTCAGAAGATGAAGAACTGAGTTAATCGGAGGGGCTTATATGTAGGCAAAATATATTTGCGTAAGATACTACAAATAGGGTTACCAACCTCCAGCTGGAGCCTGGAGTTTCCCCAGAATTACAGCTGATGTCCAGGCTGCAGAGATCAGTTCCGTTGGAGTAAGGGACAGCTTTGGAGGATGGACTCTACAGCATCACATGGTGGCTGCTGAGTTCCTTCCCTCCTAAAACTCTGCCCTCTCCCAGGCACCATCCTCAAATCTCCAGGAATTTCTCAAGCCAAAATTTAGAACCCTAACTGCAAACAAATGGACATGATGTTGAATGTGTGCAATTTGCAGAGCAGGTGTAATTGGTTAGAAGACTAATCCATATTTATATGAATTCTTGTGTGTGTTTTTTTTCTGAGAGTCACTGTGTCTTTAACATTATAGACCCATGGCTGGTGCATGAAGGAAGACAGGAATGTGAAGTACTGTAGGAGCGATGGTCATAGCAACAACTGGGACAGCACATTTCATGCAGCTGCCTGCATAAGAAAAGTCAGTGGGAAGCACTGTGGTACAGCACACACATAGTATGCATGACGTTTCCTGGTGGAAGGAGAACCAGACACCCCTGTGATTTTGCACCATCAAACTCAAGCATTGAGGATCGCAACTTGAAAAGTACGCAGACGGAGAGTGATTTCAGCAAAGCGTACTTTATTCAGTCAGGAACAAGACGACTTTGGCCAGCTCGCCGGCCGGCTTATATCCCCCGAGAAACCGCCACCCAAAACACACACACACCACTTCCCAATAGGTTATTTATAGTGGCCGAGAGTCCCATATGCTCTCAGCTGGGAACCTAGCCCGTTGATTGGAGCGGGCTAGGATCCGCATAGTCCATTGTCTCTTGGAGCAAAGCTCTATGTTTGTGCCTGACCACGTGGAGCCCAAGCCGGCCACGCGGTCTGGACTGGATACATTACACCCCTCCCCCTTTGGTCCGCAATGCACTCACAAACAAAGTCCTTCAGGTGGGCAGGTAACTTCCTGGTGCGGGTAGAGCGGCGAAGTTCAGGAACTGCTGCGGCCTCCACCCCTGAAGCCCTCGGAAGCGAGCTGGCTAGAAGAGGCGCTGGGGGGGCGGTGCCGGTGTTCCCGGTGTCTCTGGAAGAGGTGACCTGGGTTCGACCAAGGGAAGAGACCGGGGCTCAGCCGCCGGTGGTTGGGTCCGGGGTGAGGTCTCTGGGGCCTCGGCCATGTCTCAGTCCTCGGGGTCCAATGGCATCGTCCGGCAGCGTAGCTGGTCAATGTGCCGGTGTAGAATCTGCCCGTCTTCACACGAGACCTCATACGATCTTGGGCCCTTAACTCATATGACTCGTGCTGGGATCCAGGCTGGTCCCTGGGTGTAGTTCCATGCGTACAGGGGATCCTCCAGGAAGAAACCCCTGGCTGCCTCATGCGTCTCCATGCCTGGTGCCTCTGCCGAGGCCCGGTCGGGGTGCAGATGATCCAACCAGGTTGCCAGGCAGCGACCTAGAAGTAGCTCTGCCGGACTGCGCCCTGCAGTGGTGTGGGGTGTCGTTTGCTGGCCGAAGAGGAAAGCCACCAG